TTCTTAAAGTCACAATAACTATAACAATAAATTTTATTTGTCAAATTTGTGTTGCTCTGGAGAAATTCAAATTGCAAATTTATCTTAGAGTTCGAACATAATTTTTGTAATGTATTATTTTAATATTGTTACACTAATCTACAGGCAGTAATGCAAGCAGAAAATCTAGTTGAAATATTAGGGGTGAACCTACTTATTGGACCTCCGATTTAAACAAATTATTTAACTTAATTGACTTTGCAGTAGTCAAAAGTTTATGCTCCAGAAGCCTAATAGCCAAATCATGTCTAAAATTAACCCCAGATTATTCCTCAATAATTATAAATTATGTAACGTTTATGTCTTGGTTGCCGTCCTATGAAAGCGCCTGTACGTAGACTACCCGCTACATTACAAACTATTTAACTATGCTTATTTACTAGCGTCTCAATGAGCTATATAGATATATTATCCTTATTATTCTTATATTTCTTAAAAAACAATAAAATTAATTAACTTTCAAAGGAGTCATCAGTCAAATTTGAAGAATGAGACTTTCACTTTATGAATGTCTGTTATTTTACATAAATCATCTAGTTATTATTATGGTTTTTCAATCGCAAACATTTATATACGATACTCTTTATGAACAAATGACAATAATTGTGATGAAACAAACATTATGATAAGAAATTATGCGATTTAATATACATTTACATAAGAAGTTGAGTTAAAGTTGATTAATAACTCAAAGTTATTAATAAATAAAAAAATCAACAATTTTGTTAAACAAAACTAATCTTACGTAATAAATAAGTGGTTTTGAAATAGGTAACAAAATTTGAATTAAGTTGAAAGATTGCGCCAAAGCTGAGAAATCGCAATTTGTTAATAAATTGAAAAGTGAAAAAACATCATAATTCATAACCATAACAAGTTTTGATATTCTGTTTTAACAAATGGATTCATTTAATTATAAGCTACGAGTACATATAATTTTCTACTATAATTACTGCTTATTAACTATAGATATCATTATTTATAACTTTAAACCATTATATAAAATATACCAACATTGTAAAAAAATAATCTGTACTCATACAAAGTTAAAGCGTAAGAAAAATGTATTTTAATGGATAAAGCAGAGCTCTAATGTAAATATTTAATGTTTTACAGCTCATTTTATAAAATCATAAAATCAAAAAGAGCGTACAAAGGGCTTTTGAGTGTATGAGATTCCAGCGAGAATGGTTATAATAGAAAAAGCTCGAAACACTGGAATCACTGTAGCTCTGATTATATTTCAGTGAAGTCGTACAAACGTTGTGCTTGATAAGTCAGACTAAATACGTGATCGTTGAGTTGAATGTTTTGCTCCCTACTGAAAGTCCTTCCTACCTTTCTATCATACCTTCCTGTGAGTCATTCCTGTGGGCTTTCCGTCTCCACAGGTACTTGATAGTAGTGGAATATTCCTGTTCCAAAAATTCCTTATTTCCTCCAATACAAGAAGCGGAATAACCGTGATAGAGATTTCTATAGCGCCACGATACATCTCCCTTCCCGTTCCGAATGCGTCGATGCTGTAGCGAACTTCTATCTATGGAATTCTAACTTAAACTATCGTAATATTTAGTTTCTGTAAGACCAACGCTTTTCTGATGGGTGAATTTTTCTTTTCTATTATATATTAAAAACCTAGTTTATTTCAGCTACCTATTCGATCACACGCGAGGTCTAAATCGAAAGAGAAAATTGTACTTTGTAATAAACTAATAAATTACAACGTTACAATTATTTTTCATAAAAAACTAGTTCTTTATAATAGGAAATCAAACTAAGATACCTACAGAAAGATAATATACAGATAAAATCTAATATTTCAATAGAAAATTTAAATAAAAATATTTATAAAACGATCAATAGTACAATCTAAATATTCAATCTTCTCAACCAAACGTATTTATATCACAAACGATCTTATAGAAAAATTAAAAGAAAAACGACAATATGGCAACAATGTAGATCACAATCTGATAAAACAAATTATAATCGATCAATTAAAGAACTACAAATAACTCTTTACGAAGAAAAAAATTTGGGAATGAAATACTATTTAGAAAATTTAATTGGCACATAGGCTACAGATTACACAGGTTAACATGAAATTTTTGTAAGAAAACCAGTAATGTATCCCGAAGGATTTCAATGCGCTAAACACGAATCCGTCTTTAAAATTGCTCTATCACGTCATACTTTCGAAATACCCTGACCTAAAAGTGCAAAAAATATATTTATTGGCTGTATTTGAGATTTTACTATATCACGAGAAAAGTTTTTTTCTAAAAGCGACTCATACTATCTAAAAGTGCAACTTTTACCCTTCAAAATCCAATTTTAGATTTAAAATATTTTTATTTTTTCATCGAGATATTGTCAATTGAAGTTGGTATCTTAACATCACACATGTCATTGTTTTATCTAATCCGATGATCCAGACATTGCAGGTGATATTGTAACAATATATAAAGAATTTTTAGGTCGCTGATTAAGAATTCGAGGTCGTTTGACTATATCACGTCAAGTTTAAGGTTATTTTAAGACGGAAGGCAAAAGTTATAACTATGGTTGCGATTGCAACTATTGTTGCTTAGACTGATACTGTTACAGTGACTGTTGATCAGATACATGATTGGTTTATTAGGCTATATAAAAGATAAATACTTAAGGATTGTACCTCTTTTTTCTTTGGCAGCACTACGACTCTTAGGTATCAATGAGAAGCAAGCCACTACTACGGGTTGCATGCTGAGAAGGTAGAAAGACAGTCAAGTTTTCTTCAGAGAATATCTGTACAAACTTCGACCGAACAGTCTATTTAATTCGAAGATTTTTCATTAGGGGTATGGCATAACTATGTGATTTACTTATCTTATAGGCAAAGTAAAGACATTTGTACGCTGGTTCTAAGAAGTAAACCAGTGAGGCATCCCTACAACCAAAAATCTAAGATGCGATAAGGTGTCTAGAAAGTTTTATTATTCGATCACGAATAATAGTGAAGCCAACACGGAAGGATCTGTTGTTGAAAAAGCGATCAGCTAACAATTGCTCATCAAGTTACATATCAAAGGAGCTAGTAACACTGGGGTTTTACTCATAGATTTCTACAATAGCAGAGATGTCATGACGTTGTTAGAGGTTGTGTAACTTAGCGCAAACGTAAAATTACTTTGAACGGTTTTGTTTTCACAGTTTTTATAACAGTTATTTACTGAAAATGATTGGCAGAGTGGAAACCATTGTCAAGAAATAAAGCCAGCGCCAGCTCGTCGGAGTTGAAACGATCAAAAGTAGACTTAAGAGAAGCAATTTAGCGGAAGCAATCAGTACTTTACTAAAGAGAGAGAGAGAGGGGGGCTGAGTAAAGGAGTGAGAAAATGCGTATTCAGAGTAAGTGTATGTCACAAACGTTGACGAAGGAGAGAGTATTCAAGAGAGATACAATGGCTTCGCCCATACTTTGTGTTGCAACCATGAAGCAACAGCGTTAAAGTTGGGATATTAATTGTTGATTTTGTCAATAAGTTAATGAGATTTTAAAGTTTATTAGTTACAAATGGAGAATTATTACTCCGGAGGTTTGTAAAATAGTTGATCAGATAAATTGTGATATTTTAAACCTTTTCGCTAAGGTTAGTATTTGTACATTAACTTGTGCCTCAACACAACTAGAATCTACTGCAAATAAAAATTATTTCTTCATTGATCGTTATTGTACAGTATTTATAGATCAAAATAACGTGGTGATAACTTTTTTAGAATTGAAGAAAAAAAACTATTTACAAAAACCTTTATTTTCTTGCTTATAGGTGCTTTAAATGGAACTGGCAATATACACTCTCCAGTTTATTTCATCATTATCGATGTAAAAAACCTTATTTTTAAGATTCCGGTTGGTTGTCAATCGAAATATTTCAAAGTAAGGAGGTTTTCTCGACTTTGTTTTAATATTCTTGGCTATGCTCAAGTAAAATATTCCTATATTTCATATTTTCGAATTTGTAATTTTATTTTCAACCAAAAATATAATTTTATTTGAAATCTATCAGTAGTTGCAATAATTTGACACCATACTCTGTAACGGGGTGGATACCGTTTAATTAATTTATTCGCGCGATCGTACTGAAGGGCGCGCGTAATTACCTATGTCATACACGAAAATCGGAGAGCAGGAGGGAACGGGTGTCAGTCAACCAACTATCTACTACCGTGAAATAAATACGTCGGAGATCTTTTCAGTATCGCAAGCGAGAACTTTTATTACCTCTTATTATTACACTATGTTCGGCCCGCGTGTTTATGTTTACATCTCGCGCGCACGACAACAACATGCAGTGTCGGATCGCTCGCCGCTCATAGTTCGCTGAGTTATTACATGCACGCTTTTTTGTCGAATACGAGAGATTAGTTATTTAGTCATTCTATCGCGATCGCGAAATTAAGCTGGCCAGCTTACCTTTTTAATTCTCGCACGGGTTACAGGAGAGATGAAGGAGACTCGTACGACACACGCTATGTCTTTTAGCAATGTTTATTTGCGGGCTGTGGTGTCTCTCACTCACGGTTTCGCCCTCGATGACGACGCTCACCGCTCACACACACTTGCACCCACTCTTGTACGCACACTCTTCGGACGTAATGCTCCGTCACAGCTCCTTGCTCCTCGGCTATGTACTCCGGAAGACTCGGGAAAAAACTCAAAGATTGTGTGGTAAGGCTCTGCGATCGGGTCCTAATACTCGGTTTGCGGCTCTCTATATCGGTAGCTAATCCTGCACTGGTTCGTTTTCAATCGCGCGCGTTCCGTCTAGTCGCGTGCCGAATTCCCTCATTACATTTTTCGTCTACCGGTAGGTGCTGCCCCCGCAGGCAGCCACTAGGCTAGGCTATCAGCGTTAATACGACGATTATCGTCACAACTCTTATAAAATCCATTTAAACAAGTACTGGTATTACAGGTGAAGGGCCGTTGGAATGTACATCTTGTCCACCACACTCAATGCTTGAAAGTGGTATGTGTATGGCTTGTCTAGGATCTCAGTATTATGATCCATTGACGCAGCGATGTCGGAGCTGTCATATAAACTGTTATAGATGCACAGGACCGGGAAAGTTCAGTTGCTCGAGTTGTGCCCCACCTCTTCATATTGACCGAGTTAACAATCAATGCGTACCCTGTTGCAGAAGCGATGAAAAGATTGAAGAAAGTGGTAATTGCTGTGCTTGTAATGCTGATACTGGTAAGTTTATTTGTAATTAGTTTTAATTTATTTTTGAAATTTTTTGATATTATTTTTATGGTTTATATGAAAATTATTTATGCATTCGAAAGAATGTACTTTGTTCAGAGTCTAAACGGTCAACATAGTCAAGAGTGTTCCAAACAACATCTTCAACCTAATTATACCATCTTGTCCCTCTTGAAAAATGAATATCTTATCTAGATTATCAGATCAAATAGTTAATTTTTCGTCCTATAGGTCGCGTTCTGCGTTTGTATGTTATTCTCAAATATCTCGGTCAATTTTTTTTATCTAAGAAATGTTTTCTTTTAATTGCAAGTGTGATTATTTCTTACTACATCCTTAGATTTATATAATCAAAATCATTATTTCGAAAACATACCAAGAAGTTGAACTTAAATGCCTATTTAACCATATTAATATTTTACAACATTGATTTAAATATTGACATAAATAAATATAAGTTCTACAACGGTAGTCGATTCGATTAATCGATCCGTTCGCTATTCGTACATTCGCGATGTTAGTTCGAACGACTAAGAGAGAGAGAGAGGGGCGTGCGAGGGTTTGAATATTCAGTTAAGCCTCAGCTGTTTTCGCGATGGTATCGCCGTGTTTAGTTTTTGCACTGCGTTTCGCTGTTATAAATTGAAAGTTTCCTGGGACTATTTTATTCGTGCGTGAGTGCAGCATTTACAGCAGCAGCAATCAGCAGCATTTACAGTAGCAGCAGCAAAAACAGCAGCAGATTTGAGTGTGAGGCAGCACAGCTGATCCGAAAAGCATCTTTGAGTTTATTCATCAACAATTACGGCTGAATAACATAATTGCACCGCAGGGTAGGTACACCTCCCTTTATTATTGCGCGACAAAATACTTTCGAAAGTATTTTGTCAATCGCGATCGTATTTTTTTGTATTCGCACCGAGCGTTAGATTTCGCGGCAATTTTCGAATTCTCTCTCTCTCCCTCACCGAATTATAATTTGTAATTGTGAATCCTATCTCGTGCGTTAGTCTTTCGGCCCATAAAAGTCTGTAGTTTTTGTTAATTAAACTTTGTTAACCTTATTCGCCGTTTACGTCATTTCGTTTCCTATGAGCTTAACAGATCTATAAAGGTTTAAGTCTTAATCCGATTTCATCTAGGGGATTAGGCGGATTAGGCATTAAGTCAGTCATACTGAAGATAGATCGAGTGTCACAAGTCAAGTGACTTAAGATGAGTTTAACTCGGTTGGAAAGAAAACACTGAAACGAAATCATTAAACGTAAAGGCGAATACACGTATAACTATACGTGCTTAACGGAGCGACGGTTAGCTCTGTATCGTGGGAGTTTGTGCTTTAATAAATTTCTCATTTTTGCTACATAACCATCCCGTTACAGTTCATAATGTTGTACTACATGTATGCCAATTTTGGTGTGAGGCTCCAAGTAGAATTGAAAATGAAAAATAAAAATAAAACTATGCTGCACGCTATCCATGGATTGAAGCGAATTAACCATGCATATGCAATGTAAATTAAAACTGGGGAATAACTGCATATAATGTTAACGGTCTTTTAATTCATAAAGTTCTGCAATTACTTGTCAATTTCAATGAGACCGCGATATACCACGAAATTTCTACGGCTGCAAGAAAAAAAATGCCACAAAGTTTTGAAAATGTGAATTTGATCATTATTGATGAAATATCTATGGCCTCTGATGTTCTTTTATATACATCAATTTATACATCAAGCGTGCCAAAATAAAGTTAAAGGTTCTTTAGCTCGTTCAGAGAAAGAACCAATCAGTAGCAATGAAGTATCTACTGCAAGTGCTTTATGTGGTTTAGCTAAGTACAGTTCTACAACAGAAGCTTAGTTTGCTAAAGTATTATATAACTTTACAAACGTATTTAAAAATTTACAAAATATTGTTGTTAAAACAGAGGCCAATTAACGAATATGCTTCTATTAGATTAAAAAAAATACGTGATTTTGTAACGAAAGTTATAAAATCCTTGGTACATATACATTATATATCGTGAATGATTTATTTAAAGATGTACTAAATACATCATATTCAGTTGGTTTTGAGTTTTTTCGAGACATCGACTTATGTTTCTGTGAATCGTGAAATTTGATTAAAATAGGACATCCCTAAATTTGTTTTGATCGAACACTTTTAAGTAATTTAAAAATTTTAAAATTAAGCTATTTGTTAGCCTATTACCCTTATCTCAGAATAATAATTTATTTCTAAAATAAAATCTTCTTACCACAATGTTTCGAATATTAATGACTCACTTTTTCATTAATTAATATTAATATTAATATGTGATGTTGATATCACATATTATTTATTATTTTGTTCGTACTCTCGCGGTGCGTAACGTTAATGAGTAAGAATTCGTTTTAAATTTGAAAATATATATGAATACTGAGTTTAAAGTAAAATTATAAATGAAATATCTATAATTGTTAGGACTGGGCTTATGGAAAGATAGACTTTACCGTAGTTTCTTATGGTGCAAATGTCCCATAAGCAGAGCATAAGTCTCTTGAAAAAAGGATGTAATTCAGCCTAAGTTTCTCATAGCGCAAAATGTTCTATGAGTTGAGCGTAAATCACAATAGGAAAAGAAAGAATTGCTTAGTTAATCACTAGAGAGAAATAACTTAGGTATAAGCCAAGTTTATTCAATCTCTAGCGCTCACTTTGCAAGGTTAGGAGAGAATACCAGCCTGGGCAAAAATCAGCGTATTTATGCACAGATTTTTCCGCCTATTTTCGCAGGACAGCCCTCTTCAAGCTGTTTACGCAAGTATATAAAATCACTTTCTATTGTTTACAATAGAATAGACAGCACTAACGAAATTTTAAAGCATGTAAAATTTACAAAAGTAGATATGGATTATTTAAGCATAATTTACACTGATCGCAAAAAGTAAAGGAAAAAGTTATTAACTAATGAAGTTAGTTAATATAATAGCGCAATATTTACAATAAAATAAGAATAAAATATTATATATAGTAATAGTTTATCGCTTGTATAAGTAATTCTAAAAAAGAACCACTTAAATTAGTTAATAACATTTGAAATATAATCAATTTTCGTATTTTTGCAAAATCTTATAATGTGTAACGGGGAGAATTAGCTGATACAAAATAGATTAATTAAAGAACAAACTCCCACGATGCAGAGTCCGTTAAACACGTATAAGTATACGTGTATTCGCCTTAATGTTTGACGCTTTCATTTCGATATCTTCTTTCCAACCGAGTTAAACTAACCTTAAGTCAACTGACTTGTGACATTCGATCTATCTTAGGTGTGAGTGACCTAATGTTTATTCCAACTAATCCTCTAGATGAAATCGGCTTAAAATTTAACCGGTGACGGATCCGTTAAACTAATAGGAAACGAAATAATGTAATGCGGCGAATAAAATTAATATCGTTTATCTCTAATATACTACAGTCTTTGATGTTCTGAAAGACTTATGCACGCAAATAGGATTTACCATTTTCAATAATACGGGGAGAGAGAGAGAAAAAGAATTCCAAATTCGACCGCAAAAACTAACGCTCAGCGCAAACACACAAACGGTCGCGATAGGCAAAATACTACCGTAAGTATTTGTCACACAGAAAAAGGGAGGTGCACCTCCCGACTGCTAAGATGCTCAGGCTCGGTCTAAGTTCCAACTCACGCGTATTGTAAGTCATTCCATTGATACATCTATTTTCCCCTCTTCCTAGCAGCTCACTCTCATTCGTCCACTGGCTAAAATTAAAGCCCCTCCGTTTGTCTAATATAAGACCGATTGCTCAGCTTTCTGAGCCGTCTAAAGTCATGCAGCGTTTACTTCATAGACAGCTTTTGGCTTTCTTGAAGGACAGTAGTTTTCTGGATGCGAGACAAACTGGTTTCCGCTGTGGTCATTCGACTAAATCTTGGTCGGCCTCCTAGACGACGTGAGGCATGCTGTCGAGTTGCGTCAGGTAACCATCCTTGTTCTATTCGACTTCGCGAAAGCCTTCGATAGCATCCCTCACGACTTTTTATGATGGTTCTTCAGTTATTAAACCGAAAGAGCACAGGCTGCGGTCAACCGGGATGATTCGGTGTCACATTGATTGCTCACTCGTGCGGGTGTCCCCCAGAGAAGTGTCCTTGGCCCCCTTTTGTTTGCGATTTTCATCAATGACCTTCCTAAAGTATTGCATTTCTGTCGACACATGATTTATGCTGATGATATACAAATCTACCATCATTGCTTTTCCTCGGAAATCCTTGAAGGCCTCTCCAAGATTGAGCTTGATGCTCAGACAGTTGCGGACTGGGCCAGAGAGAGTGGCATGCAGCTCAATCTGGCCAAAATAAAAGCAACGATCCACGTCAGCGAATCATACAGTTCTCTTCTAAATCCTGATCTACTCCCTCAAATCATCATAGATAACACTAACGTTCCTTTCTCTTCCTCAGTTACAAGTCTTGGCCTTACTATTTCATCTACTCTGAACTGGAAAATTCACATTTCCAATGCGCTAAAAAAGGTTTACACAAACTTAAATTTTCTCAAATTTTATAGAAAATCCCTAGCCATCTCCACCAGAAAATATCTCGTCCAAACTTATTTTCCTCATTTTACCTATGCTTCCGTGGCATTTCACAAGCTAGATAAAACCAGATCAGCTGCAATTCAGGTTACCCATAACGCTTGTGTTCGCTTCATAATCGGTTATATCCCATTTATTCCTTCTAGCAATATTGAGTGTCATATATACTTCCACTGATTGCAGCTAGGTTGGCTCTCCCTTGAATCACTTAGATACATCACACTTATTCTTCGCACATACACTCCTCACAAAAATTAAGGGAACAAAAAAATTTGTCAAATTTTTGGCTGATTTTCAACAGGCGGTATTTCAGTGAGAAATGGTCATATAGGAAATAAAAAAATAAAGCTGTTGAAGCTTAAAGACTCTAGTTTTTAGTTTTTTTGG